GTTCACTAAGGTGATTTGTGGTTGACTGATTAAAATGAGTTGAGTTGCCAATGATCAAATAATTGAGTTTAAAATCAGTTCTGCTGGTTACTGTCATAGTTACTGAATAATTAGTATTTTCCTAGGAATACAGGAACTTTTAATCATTTAATATAGAAACTTTTAATATAATAAATTTTAATTTTCATCAAAAATATTTATTCATTGATCAAAAAGTTCAACTTTTCCAGATGCAAGATTTATTGGAGGTTCACATTAAGGCTAGAGTGGCTTTGTTCGAATGTCTGACCACTCAGGGGGAAGTCATATTATTCTTTTTCTACTCCCCAAAATATTTCTCACCTTCATTCTAACCAAGCAGAGATGAGCAGGTTGGTCGGTCATATGAAGACTGATATGAAGTGTCCTATTTTGGGCAGCCAAATGGCAAATATTAAAAAAACTGATGAAAACCAGAAACATCATAAAATCCAGAAAAATAACTTCATAATAATTTATCAGTTAAGGGCCTGACACACCTCTGTACTACTTTTGTTTCCTTACATTTCTTAGGCCTCATCCTTTGATCGTCTCTTACATGACAATAATTTTGTAACAATTTTCGATAGAGAAGATAGAAGGCTAATTTAGCTTTTTCTTGTACTACGGTTGATTAAAGTTTTATATTATTAATAGGGATAGGTTAGAAAAGTTTCTTTCAGATTCACAACTTGTTATTGATAATGTCATGTGAATTTTTAGAATTGTTTTCAAACTTTTATTTTATTTTTTCCCATACAAAAATTTATACATACACTGTTATGTGACTCTAATTGCTCTCCCCGTACTGTGACAGCACACTCCTCCTTTCTACCCCTGATTCCCCATGTCCATTCAACCATCTCCTAACCCTCTCTGCCTTCCCATCTCACCTCTGGACAGAAGCTGCCCATTTAGTTGAATTGTTTTCAAATTTGAGAAAAGTTGCAATAAGGTAATTTAACATACGAGTTAAAAGAGTTCAGGGCGAGGACTTCTGGCAACGTGGCGCTCTAGGCAGAAGCACCACGCCGTTCCTCCACAGCAAAGATCCGAAAAACTAAGCCAAACAGAGAAAACAGCAATCCTGAAACCCTAAAACATCAAATGAAGAGATAAAGAACTCAGCCAAGCACCAAATGGAATAGGAAACTGACAGAGAACAGAGAGCAAAGAGACATACACGGAGAGGCCCCCTATCAGCTAATGCAGCACGGATCCGCCATCTTGGACTCCTATCAGAGACCAGCAAATACAGGGTATGAGAAAGCAGCTCCACGGAGCTTCCAGCAGGAGATAGAACAACTGGTAAACAACAATACACGCTTTCCCACCCCACACCCATCTTCACCCCCACTTGGCCTCCTCTGCTTCCCGCGGCCACAGTCTCTTGGCTGGAAAGCACCGGCTGCTTGGATTCCACCCGCCCTCACTGGCTGACTCCCTGAGTGCCATTTGGTGGTTGCTGGTGTTGCTTTTTTCCGCTTCTTTTGATTTCTTCCTTACCTCTCACAACCTCCCCCTCCTTTTGCTTAAATACCTGTCTCCGTGCGCCATCTCTGCTTCTTCCTGAGCAGCTGTGGAGCTCCGTTCGAGTGGGGAACTGCTTCCCGGTCCGTGCTGCCACGCTAGCGGGATCCTGGGGCTTTTGTTTGTTTGTTTTCAATTGTTTGTTTGTTTTCTTTTTCTTTTCTTGAGTTGGGAGCCTGTTCTGGCCGGGCGGTGCTGTGCAGCTTGGGACCTAACCCCTAAGCTTGTGCAGACACACAGAGGGATCCCTGACAGTATTTCTTTTTTCGTGGGGTTTTT